AGAAGATACGCAATACTTTACGATATGTATAAACGTTTTCGTACATCGTACTATAGATACAACAGTGCTGATGTATGGTTAACAACTGATGATTTTCTGCGGTGAGGTCTTTTCGTTGTTATCGATTTTTCGCGTCAAAATAAATCAATCAAGAGTGCCACTGTGGATGTGCGAATAGAATTTGAATGTAAAGAGAACATACCGGTGAATACTACCGCATACTGTCTCATCCTACATGATCGCGTAGTTGAATACAGTCCACTAACCAACATAGTGCGCAAACTCAACTAACAGAACGGTATGAGAAAGGAATAAAAAGCAGAAAAAGAGTGCTATACACAACATTCTTCTCAAATCAGTGTAGAAGAATATTTCATTATGAACGTGCCGACATTTGTGGACATGCAAGTATTCACCGTCGGGAGAATATTTATCGTGAAGGAAGTAGCGATATTGAGAAATGGCACTATTCTCTGTCACTATATCTTTAGATCGCCTTATCCGTAGAATCTTCTCAAACGATCTGAACAGTTTCAAGTTTCATTGTTGACCGCTAATCATCATGGATTATTATGGGCGGATGGATGTATAACATATTGTGCAGTTACGCGACTAATCAGGAAGGCCCTACGCTATGCGATGGAAGAAAATGGCGATGAGAAACATTCACTAGTATACGTCAAAGGACTTGAAAAACGGCGATGGTTGCGGGATATTCTCAGCGATGACATGCGGAGACATTTAATCATTGAAACAATAGATGCAGAGTATGAAGATATAACTTTTTTACAAGGACTTGATTCAAGTAATACATACCGATGCGAGAAACATGGAAAACACTGCACGTTGCAAAATGTATTTAAAATTTTCAACTGGTGGTCGAAATGCTCTTGATGAATAATAATAAACTATTTTTTGATCGTAAAAGATTTTTTAACTTAATATCCTCCCTATTAATTTTTCCCTACATTCCCCCTTTTAGATGTAAGTGAACGCGATAGGCAGGTACCGACCGCTGCAGGGCCCTATTCGACTTCGTCAGAGGAGAGGTGTTATTATAAAAAGGGGTTTTGATATAAAGAGGAAGTTGATAAAAAAAAATATGGCAGGTGATAGAGTCTGAGGATATCGCCGACCCATCCGGGAAAACGGAGTAGGTGGAGAATGGAAATATTGGTAATACAAATAAATTTCCGCCGTTTTTTTAATAAAACTTATCAATATATTGTAAAAAAAATATACGTTATATTTTATTCAAAATATTGTCCGTCACTAGCTACTACTTTTTGCCATCTTTCTGGCAGCATTCGGATGCCACGTCGAGAAAACTCTCCATCTTTTGAGGCTACCCATGATTCAACCCAATTTTTGGCTTTTTCGTAAGAAGTGAAGTGCTGCTCGACCAGGGCGTGAGCCATCGACCGGAACAAGTGGT